GCGCTCAGAATAGTGGCACAAAAATAACGCCATAATATGACAGTATCTCTTAAAAGGGTGCCTTTCCTAAACAAAACACTTTTTTTATAGTGCACTGGAATTTTTTAAAAACAAGTAGCTTCGCAAATACCAATGAAGTCTTTTACATCTTGGCAGGGGTAAAGGGAAGTGTGCTGAGCTACAAAATCCCGATAAGAGGACCGGGCCAATAGAAATGGTGTGTGTGTGTGTGTGTGTGTGTGTGTGTGTGTGTGTGTGTGTGTGTGTGTGTGTGTGTGTGTGTTCACCACAAGCGTATGTTAAGAGAGCGAGAAAATATGACGGTAAAGGGAGGAGGGTCTTCCCTGAATAAATGCGGTTCGTTCAACATGCTGGACGACAAAATGTAAAGCTTAGTGCGCATTTGCAGAATAGGAGGCACGGTGGCTATTTTTGGCAACCCGAACTCTTTCTCTGTGATGTCTGAAAACCATATCTTGATAAGAAATTTGCATAGATATGTGCATGTCTATGTGTGCGAGTGTACAACTGATAGCATATGAAGGTCACCAGCCTTTTCTCTGCTGCTCACCAAAGTGTGTAATTACTGAGAGGACTGAGAGCACGTAGAGCGTCTGTGTGTTCACAGAAGCGGTCACGTACTTTGCATCAGTGGTCCAACTTCTGACGGTGCCAGTTCACGCTGCCCTTGTTCCGCTGCTGCATACAATAGGCGCATGCAGAGCCCTGCAAGTGTGCCAGCTTCAGCAAAGCGCCGCGTGGCAGCACATTTTCATATGAGGATGCAGAACGTAAGAGAGACTTGCAGCAACGGACTATAATGCAAAACAGCTGCCGCAACTGTGGCTTTCAGCGGAGCACAGTCAGGATCCTCCTGAGGGAGTGTGCTCCCACCTGAGCCACACAAGGAGCAGGTCGAAGACTCACTTCAGTGAATCACTGTGCGTGTCTCCAGAGAAAGATTACGTCGAGGAGTCACTGCAATTGAATTCTTATACGGCTTAGAGGCTTCACGCAAAACTTATCATTAGGCACTGCTAAGAGGCTTTACATTATTCTTATTAGCCCGGCAGATTAAGGGCAGATCAAACAAGGATCGATGATGTTATGAGTGCGCTACATGCGATGCTGAGTAATGTTAGTCCTACTAAGGCAGTAAAGATGTGGTGGATACTATGAATGTGCACTTATATAAACATGACACATGATATAAATTATCTATGAAGGTAGTTCATAATAAACATGATAATAATCATTATTAAGTTCAGTTTTATTCAGTTTTACTTGTGTATCCCTGCAGTGATCGGTCCTATTTAAACTGGCCTGTGAGTTTCCTTGTCTTCGGCGTTGCGTAAAAAGTAAGCCTTTGCTGTTTAACCCATTCGGAGCAAAGGCTCAGACCTCCTCCTTTAAACTGCGCCCACACCCGTTTGTTAAAACACAACAATGTGTCTAAAAAAGGAAAGGAAATATCCACGTACCTCAGCAGGCGCATGCTATCAGCTCACAGTAAATGTCTCATACTGTAACGCCAAAAGCTCAGGAGGTGGAGAGGAGGTGCTACCGTACCCGGCAGTGAGCGCTGTCGTAGCTTGTTACGTTCGCGTCGAGAGAGAAAAAAACTACCGGAAGACAATAAAAATACAGCGGGGTTCAAATGACCGCTGGTTTTAAAGAGTGATGGTCAGGATTCTTTTAATAGGAAATTTCCGAGTAGCAGTCAGACTGTCTGTGACTCAGATTTTGAGACTTGAGCTAGAGCTCTCCAAATGTGCACGATGAGCAACCGCAAGGTGGCATCTGTGGCTGAAGCTCAAGAAAGTTTGTGAAAGAGACCAACTTCATTTTTTCTGTCTTTTACATTTTTCCGAAGATGTGCTTTGAGCCATGTGACTATTTACTGATTTAGGTGATGATTCACTTAATTCAGTGAAATTCAATTCAAGAAAAAAAAGAGTTTTATATGTTCACTTAAAAAAAAAAATTACAAGTTTGTGAATCTCTCTGGAGATGATTCACAAACTTGTAATTTTTTATCAATCAAAGAGTACTCGAGTATTTGTACTTATCATTTCTCCATGTTTGTTCATATAGAGGCTATAGATATTAAATCCCCCCTGTCGTGGTATTACGTTGTGTAAACCAGTAAATATTATTAGACATTAATTAAAATCACAGCTTCCGGTTTTTATGGGGACAAAAAACAAACAAAAACGCATACAATTAGTTAATTTAAGGCTGTAGCACTGAAGGAGTGAGAATAGAAAATAAATATTCTGTGGATAAGAAAGCTTGTTTCTCCCAAAAATGATTTCTGGCAGAAAGAAAGAAAGAAAACTACTTGTTACTTGTTGTCCTATAATCTGTGAAACTTAACTCATGAAAGATATAAAGTTATTTTGACAAAAAGAATATTTTCTGCAATCACTTTTTAGCAAAGTGGTTTGATGTGTTTGATCGGGCTAAACAGTCTCATTGACATTAAAAATGTTTTTTAAAGAGTGATATGGCCAAGGGTGCATCAGAAATTACAACACGTGTAACATATTGGTTTTATAAAGATATTTCAAGTGGCCAAAAAGGACTGAAACGATCATAATGTAGGTAGAGTTACCCAGAGTCATAAAGACACTCGCAAAGCAGGTGATTCATAAACTCTGCTCACTAAAATCCCTCTTTGTCACAGGGTGGATGGGTGAGTAGTGAGGGTGATAGGAGGGGAAGGAAGGAGGAAGCACCGCCCCCCATACAAATAAAAGCTCAGTCTCGCTGTGGACGTTCTTAATTTCAGCGTCGTCGTGCGCGAGAGGGAGACATGAAACAAACGTGGATCTCACAAAGTCTCCGGAGCATGAACAAACTCACCTTGCCGCTTTTCCTGTTGGCCCTGTGCTTTCTCGCCGGTGAAACTGGTAAGCTGCGGAAACTGGAGATTATTTCTTACAGTTTTTCCATTTTATTTTATTGCTACAGCCCAAATCACAGCAGCAGTTTAGAAGTCGTGATTTCTTTCTATTATTATTATGATGATGCCTAATAAGATGTCTTCTTGAGAACTGATTATTTTTTATTAAACAGACAGTAAGTGTCCAACCGTATCTGTTACAGTTAACCCATGTTGCTCAGAGCCATGCCAGAACAGGGGCGTCTGCACACCACTGGCCTCAGAAAAATACGAGTGTGACTGCACACGCACAGGGTACTATGGGCAAAACTGCACAGCACGTAAGTGTGAACATCGCGCTTGGAGTGAAACAAGGTGCATCTCTGGTGGTGACTTGATGGCTTGATTCACGTGCTCTCTTGGTCTCTTACAGCTGAGTTCTTCACCTGGATCAAAGTGTCTCTGAAGCCAACACCCAACACAGTCCACTACATCCTGACCCACTTCAAGGGTTTCTGGAACATCGTCAACAGCATCTCATTCCTCAGGGATGCCATCATGAGATATGTGCTGACATGTAAGTCTCTCTGCTCGAAGGCAAAAATGAAAAAGTGGATTGGAAAGTTTTGCACAGTACATTAAACAGTTTGCGCAGGAACTTGTTGTAGTGTTTATACTACATGAAGGACTAATATGGGTTTTCCTTTCTCTAGCCCGATCCCACATGATTGACAGTCCTCCAACTTATAATGCTGATTACGGCTATAAGAGCTGGGAAGCCTACTCCAACCTTTCCTACTATACGCGCTCCCTCCCCCCTGTGCCGCAGGATTGCCCAACGCCTATGGGAGTAGTAGGTGAGTACACTCTCTACCTTTGGAGAACCAGTTTTCTTAGATTCTTAAGATACAAAACCGTCTTTGTCGAATTACATCATAGGAAGCGCGCACATTGGAATTAGCTTTCTTCTTAGATCAATTATAAAGTGGCTGAGGCAACATGGAAAAACCTCCCCCTACAAGCCCAAACCAAAGAGATCAAGTTATCAGAAGTATGAAACAGACCCAAAGAGCTGTGATTTTCCTATCATACTGTTATGTGCTCATTGAAGTCTTCTTATTCTTCCAGGCAAAAAGGAGCTACCTGATGTTAAAGTTCTGGCTGAGAAGCTCTTAATGAGGAGACAGTTTATACCAGACCCGCAGGGCACCAGTTTGATGTTTGCCTTCTTCGCACAGCACTTCACCCACCAGTTCTTCAAATCTGACATGAAGAGAGGGCCTGCTTTCACTGTTGCTAAGGGTCATGGGGTGAGTGGAGCTGAAGATCCCGGTTTTTGAAAAGCAAACTCATTTTAATGTGACCCAGTTTTAATTGGCGTGTCTTGTGCTGTCAGGTGGACCTCAACCACATCTACGGTGACAACCTGGAAAAGCAGCACAAGCTGAGACTCTTCAAGGATGGCAAGCTGAAATATCAGGTATGGGGGGGAAAGGTAGCTGTACTCGAGGCAGCCAAAGAGACCAGCTCATGTGCGTTTCTCACAGCAGTTTCCTCTTTTGCGTAACTCCGCAGATGCTCGATGGAGAGATGTACCCCCCTACAGTTAAGGAAGTGGGTGTCACGATGCATTACCCCCCTCACGTCCCAGATTCTCACCGCTTCGCTGTCGGCCACGAGGCATTTGGCCTGGTCCCTGGTCTGATGATGTACGCCACCATCTGGCTCCGCGAACACAACCGTGTGTGCGATGTGCTGAAAGAGGTCCACCCATACTGGGATGACGAAAGACTCTTCCAGACCGCACGGCTCATCCTAATCGGTAAGACAAAAGAAGTCCAGATACCAGCTGTGACGTAGTTGGGATTTTTTATTAAAAAGCTAATAATCATATTGTTAGCAGGACTTCTTATTCACCTCCCAATGACCCTGCTGTGCACAGTGGAGCATTTCATTTCAGGAACCTGATTTACTGAAAGACTTGAGAATTTCTTGTAAACATCAGAAAGAGGAAATGTGTTTTACTCTCAGGACTCCACTTTGTGCTTACCCACACTACAGACATGCAAATGAAGCATCAATAAGCACGATTTATTCTAAAGCAGAGAGTGGCTTTTAGCATCTAGAGTGTCTCCATTATATAAACCGTCACATTTCTCATCTGGCAGGTGAGACCATCAAAATCGTGATTGAGGACTACGTGCAGCATCTGAGCGGCTATCACTTCAAACTCAAGTTTGACCCCGAGCTGCTCTTTAACCAGCGCTTCCAGTACCAGAACCGCATCGCATCTGAGTTCAACACCCTTTACCACTGGCACCCTCTGATGCCCGATAGTTTCCACATTGAGGAGACAGATTACAGCTACAAGCAGTTTGTCTTCAACACCTCTGTCGTGACCGAGCACGGCATCAGCAACCTGGTGGAGTCGTTCACCAATCAGATTGCCGGACGGGTACGAACTCTTTAAGCTCCGCAGCAGCAGTTAGACTGAAACATACAAGACCAGTGTTGCTCTAAGGATGCAGAATTGAAATGTCTTTTTTTTGTAATTTAGGTTGCTGGTGGTCGAAATGTCCCCGGACCCATCTTGTATGTGGCCATTAAATCCATAGAGAACAGCAGACAAATGCGTTACCAGTCCCTCAACGCCTACAGGAAACGATTCTCCATGAAGCCCTACACGTCTTTCGAAGACCTGACAGGTGAGACAGATTCAGCACTTCTTGAAAATACCTGTATGCTGAAAATGTGACAAAAACAGGTTCTTGTAATTGCTGTCTCAGGCCCAGCTATTGATAGATTAATATCTTTGCAATGCGCTGATTCTTATTTTCACAAAGTGTGACTGAAAAACCTGCAGGCTGCACAATCCGGTTCATGCAATAGTTTACCTGATATTGAGGAAATGCCTCAGAGTCCCTAAGCAGCTGCTGGCAGTTTTGAAGGTTAGGTATTTATTTCCATGACTCTGAGAACCAGATGGCCATTTCATCTTAAGGTAGAGTAAGCAGACTGTCATGACTGCAGGCGAGATATAAACAGACACGGGGAGTCCCTCTACTTTAAAGAGGAAGATTTAAACTTTTCAAGAGGTTTAATGTCGATTAAAAACTAACTTTGACTTGCTGTATAAGTGAAGGGAAAAATGGCGTGCATGCTAGTGGAAAGATAAAAATCAGGAAGTAAAGACATATGAAATCTGTCAAATCGCAGTGACCGAGCCAGTGGGAAGGACGCCAGATTGTGTTACTGACCAAAACCATTTCCTTGTTTGTGTTATTCAGGGGAGAAAGAAATGGCCGCGGTGCTGGAGGAGCTGTACGGGCACGTCGATGCTGTGGAGCTCTACCCGGGCCTGCTGGTGGAGAAGCCCAGACATAACGGCATCTTTGGGGAAACAATGGTGGAGATGGGGGCTCCTTTCTCCCTCAAGGGCCTAATCGGAAATCCCATCTGCTCCCCGGAGTACTGGAAGCCCAGCACCTTCGGAGGCACAGTCGGCTTCGACGTGGTCAACACCGCCTCGCTCCAGAAGCTGGTGTGCAATAACGTGCGGGGTCCCTGCCCCGTGGCGTCCTTTCATGTGCCCGATGTTAAAGAGACCGGGTCCATGATCATCAACTCAAGCACGTCGCAGTCGCAGGGCAGCGACATCAACCCCACCATTATTTTGAAAGAAAGGACTACTGAGCTCTAATTTTATTTAAGCGTGTTGTTGTTGTTGTTGTTGTTGTTTTTAAAAAAAACACAAGAAAGTTTTATTTATTTATTTATTGGTATATTTATTTTATATATTTATACTGTAAAATAAAACCAGAACAAGTGGAACAAATTTTTATATTTGTGATTGAAATTAGAGTAAGTAATTTGTATTTATT